ACTCAGCTGACTTTTCATGCTGTCTCTAAAGGAATGAAAGTTTTTTTCCAAGCACTAAGCTCACTAGAGTCAAAAAATCTCATTCCATTGGCAGATCATGCTATTTACCTGCTCAAATTAAGGGTTAATAAACCTAATTTAAGAAATTTGTACCTATTTCTAGATCGTTTTAGCAGTGTAAATAACACACTTAATATTTTAAGCGTTCTAAAGGCATTTTAGCCAAAGGATTGTTATTAAAAACTTAATTAATGTGCACAAATAAGGAAGGATAGTTGTATTAACCATATATGTAAACAGAGTTTTTGGGGCCACCAGGAACTTGGGGCCCAAAGCAACTGCCAATTTTTGCCTAATGGTAAACCCCCCCTTGATGAAACGGATGTTTTTCATGTGTCTAAGATGTGAGACGGAGCAGTAAACAGGCCTTTTCCATCATAAATGAGTCGATTTATTAAACCTAACCGGATTCATTTGCTGATTCCTTCCAATAATAAGCAGCTGTCTAATCCAGCTCATGTTCTTCTGTTGCCTGATAAACCGGGGTGTGCGTGGCCCCTGGCCCCTCTCTGACGTCCCTGTCTCGCTGCAGCTTGTTCAGCAGGTGTGCGTGGAGAGGCTGTGGGGGCAGAAGGGAAGCCCCTGGGAATTTAACCTGCGGGACATTTTCCGCTGGTGTCAGCTGATGCAGACCGATCAGGCTCCGGGATTTTTTAACCCAGGCCAGCATGTAGCCCTGGTGTATGCCGACAGAATGAGGACTGAGGCGGACAAGGCCAAGGTAAGCTTTTTATAGGACTAACAAACAACCTTTCAAAGATGTGAAATCTGAAAAACCAACAAGACAAATGTTGATTTTCTGCTCTTGGTAAAGTTCTAACCTGCTCACTTTGCTCTGCTACAGACTCTAAGCTTTTAATAACTTGCTTTTTAAACACTTCATTAGTGCTAAAAATGTTTGAGTCTCTTCCCCTCAGCAGCGTCTTCATGCAGACTCTGTCAGTGCATCTGTATGAAACAGCAGCTGATCAGTGATCACTGAGGGTCCTCCTGTCCCCCACAGGTGCTGTTGGTGTTCAGGGATGTGTTTGGGGAAGACTACGAGCCTTACTGTGGCTCCAAAGAGTTTCATATCACTCCTCTCAATGTGCAGGTTAGTCTACACCATTTACACTCTCAGATGATTAAATATATGCACAGGGGAAGTACTTCTAAGATGCTCATAGAGGGTATTTACCACACTCACATTGGAACTATTAGGACAAACATGTAGGAGGTACTTATTAAATACACACCATATATTTATTACTATTTATCATTGTTATATATATATATATATATATATATATATATATATATATATATATATATATATATATATAGGTGATTTTTGGCATGGTGTTTACATTCAAAATGTCCTTGGCTGGTCCTTGGTTGGCCCTTGGTTTGCCCTTGGCTGGTCCTTGGCTGGTCCTTGGTTGGTCCTTGGCTGGTCCTTGGTTGGTCCTTGGCTGGTCCTTGG